CCCGCCCCAACAACTTATCCACCTTTTCATCCACAGCCTTCGCGTGATGAGGTGCTATTCTCCGGGCCTTCTGCCTAACGGGTTTGAATGAGGGATTCACATGGAGCCAATGAGTCATCACCTTGGCACTTATCCCTGTCTCGGCCTGGGTCCACACAAAGACATCGGGATTGTGGCGTAAAAATGAAGCCATATCATTTCTCTCTGCGTCGCTGAGTGACTCTCCTATCAAAAAGTACTTCTCATCGTTATTTGGGCTTAGGAGAATCTTCACCAAGGCCTCAGTAGACCATTCGGCCGGCTCTGTAATGGGCTCGTCCACTCCCAGACGACCACTCTATGATTGCTATTTGGCAACCACCACATCGAGATCACGCTCCTGACTCCGTCCGTTGACTCCCGTTTCACCGCAGCGTAGAAACAGCTTTTCACCGACGCCTAATCACCCCGGATTTCCATTATGCCCTGTGGTGTTGGGAACTTTTATCTTCTGGTGATAGGATGAGTGAACCGTCTTTATTGCATGCAACTATGATATCCCCATAATAGCGTTGTAAGGGGAGTCGAAGTCTACTACCACAAATTCCACTAGCGTGGTTACCACCCTCGCCCATACCATGAGGGGGATTTTTTCAAGGGCAAGGCGCTGGAACCATTAAAGTCTATGAGGGGGGTTTTTACGGGTTCTAGATCCCCCTGAAATAGTCCTATCTTGCGAAAGAGGTGATCGTACATCACCTCGGAAGAACTGCCCGAGTCAACCAAGATCCTCTTGACGTCGAACTTTATGACCTGCAAAGTGATCACCAATGCATCTTCGTGGGGGAGGACTACCCCGCCGAGATCAGCATTGGAAAATTGGATAACCTCGGCACCACTCCGCGGCTTCTTGGGCAGCCACTCATCACCCCTTTCTTCCACCCTGACTTCTTGAGAGACCCTCTGTAACTCGGCGCGGAGGGAGTTGTATGTAGGCCTCTCCACTGTGCATGCATGAATAACATCAATCACGGGTGCTACCTCAGCTGGCACCTCGGCTCTTTCCCTCGCCGACCCACCGGGGCGACCCCTGTCGATGCATTTACCGAGGTGTCCGTCTCGCACCAATTATTCGAGGAAGGATTTATAATCCTTGCAATCCTCCGTCAAATGGATGATATCTTTATGATACGAACATCAGAAGGCCGCATTCCTTGTTGACGGGTCTCCAAACATCCTTGGGGGCCACTTGAAGTAGGGTTTATTTTTTATTTTGGGAAGTATCTTGTGAATGGACTCGTTGAAGACCGTGCTCACTCCCTGGAAGGATAGACGAGTTGGGGGGGGGGTGGAACAGGTCCTCCCCTTTGGGGCGGCTACTCCCTTTCCTTTTTCTCGGCATCGTGACGCTGCTTTCGGGTGCGATGGATTCTTCCTCCACCTAAGCATATTTGTTAATCCGAGTCATCAAGTGTTTCATGTCCGCTAGAGCTTTCTTAGTCAGCGATTTGTACAAATTAGTGTCCCGGGACAGCCCCATCCTAAATGACGCCGCAGCCAATGCCTCCGAACATGCTTCCACCTCATTCACTTCATCCCAATATCGGACAACTTATTATTGAAGTGTCTTTCCCCTTTTTCGCCTAAGTGTCAACAGAGCGCCGATGTCCTTTAGTTTCTTACTGCTAGTGATGAATCGAGCTATGAAGAGCTCCGTCAATTGTTTCTAGGACCTAACGCTCTCAGGAACAAGGTTCTCATACCCACCTCATGCCAGTGTCCCTTAGGCTTATGGGAAAAACTCAGCACAACACCCTTTGGGTAGTATCATAGATTGACATCAATTGTCTGTATTGTCGAAGGTGGCTCTCAGGATCATTTTTCCCATCATAGACTTTGAACCGTGGGATGGTAAACTTCTTCGGCATTTCGGCCTCCTTGATAGCCAGGATGAACGGTTAGATAACTTCGTCGGAGTAGACCTTAGGCTTATAGTTGCGATGAGCAACGAAGGGGACCCTGGGATCCTTTTTTAATCTTTCTTCTCGAGGCCTTCGGGATATGGACTCCGCTTGTGATTTGGCGGCTTCGATACCCTCGGGTATCCCTCAGCGCAGGTTCCACCTGGATAGGCTTGCCTTCTAGCCCGATTTCGACTTCCCTTTTGAGACTGAGAACCCTCCTTTGCGGTTACGTCCCTCGGGCGAGTGCCTAATCCAATCTTTCCTAGAGGCCAATGCCAGAGGGGTCTGGACAGGTTCTGGCTAGGCACCTGGTCCCCGAACCTGCGACTATGCTCACTCGTGCTCACTAACTGCTCGAAATCGTCAAGACGTTGCTAGACCTTGGTTTTTCCTTTTCAACCTGCTTAATGTGTTTGCCTATCCGCTTTTCCACCATCTCAATGATGTCATGGGCCATGAGGTCACGCCCCCTAAGGCCCTGATCCATAGGGAGCGTTCTTTGCGAAGAATGCCCCACCCTATCTGATTAGCCCAATGAACTCAACTCCAGAACATTGGAAGTCGGATGGGCTTTGCATTCCTAGCATGCACACTTGCTCCCTCACCCTGAGATCGAGTGTTCACCATTAGACAATCGCTACCAGAAAAAATGCCTTCGTTTCCATAGACGGCACCAAATTGCACGGGATAATTCCTGTAATAGTTTGAGACAACGATCTCCAAGCTGGCGAACCTGAAATAATAGGGTCAGAAAAAAGGGGGTCAGACGAGCACCCGATTAATCCCCTCCGAAGCTTAAGTCAGTATAAGGTCGAAGGGTTTTGCTCAATGGACTATTTTTCTGATTCAAGTTTGCGTACCTTTGTCCATTTTTCTGAGAAGTATTTATACCTGAATTAGCAATGATTGCCAAAGATCTCCAGTCCCATCTGGACATCTTACATCTGACACACCAATCCTTGTGCAATGAGTGTTTTCTACTCACGTCTCCTCCTATTGAATGCTAAAAAAATGGGGTAAATGCTCGGCCAAATGCCGAGCATTTATGCCACTCCCCGAGTACCCAAATCCCTCAGATCGGCATCCGACATCAACTGCGCATTGAATACTCGGAGGGAACAGTTCCTCGGGGGAGCCGATCGCGTCATCTCGGCACATCAGCCATTAATGTTTAGTCATCATGACAGTAAGTATAGACTCCCAGAGGGTAGGTGCTGGCAGACACGCATTTATTTGTCTTGTCACTATCACTTATTCCGCCATAAATGAGGGGTTATATCGCATTAAATACGATGCTAGCTGTCATACTCGGCTGCTCCGTATCACCATACCTCGGCTTATCTCCTCGGCGCCTTTTGGACATCCAAACGACTTCATTATTCCACGTGTCAACCTGGGGGTTATAGAGCCACCTAGAGTCCCGCCAATAACTATAAGTTATTGCAAAATGAGCAAGACAATTAACAACTTCATTACCTCCCCTATGAATCCAAGAAACTGAGAAAGACTCGAAAGAGGAACCATAAGCCTGAATCTTCTCTACAAAATTTCCTATCTACGACAAATCTGACTGAGTCTTCTGAATAGCGTCAGTAGTTACTTTGGAATTACCTTCTAAAACACTCCTTCTAAAACACTCCTCCTAAAACCAAGTTCTTGGCCAAGACGAACTGTAGTGAAAGCAGCCCAAGCTTCAACGTTATTAGCACATAGTTGTCCAACCAATTTAAGACTCAAGCCTGCTAAAAAATGTCCTTCATGATTCCACAGCACCACTCCCACGCCTGAGCATCCACAAGAATTAAAGACTGCCCCCATCAAAATTTATTTTACAAAAACCCACCGGAGGAGCAGACCATTTGACTACAGATGGACGATCAACATGAACACTAACAGCCAAACCTCCATCTTGTCAGCGTTGGAATTCAACAATTTTAAATGGAGATAATAATTTTAGGAGCGGTCATTAAACATTTTTTTTTGTCTTTTTTATTAAATTATCAGTGATTAAGAGATGACACCATAATTAGTAGTATAGGTTAGAGCATATCTAATCCTTACCTTTTTTTTTTAAATCCAAATTTCTCCAATGTTATACTCAAACTCATACCAAATCAAGAAAACTCAAATTTTTACTCAAATTAAGGGAGACTTAAACCTTTACTCAAATCACCAATGATTAGTTTTTATTATCTTTTAAAGATCTAATAGTCATATTCTATCCCCATTTAAATTTAATTTTGTTCTCATTAAATTTTGAGTTTGTCTTCTTATAAATTTGAGTTTCTTTATCGGAGAGGTCTATACCAAATAACATTTTTTATCCTTTGTTTACCTCAGATTTAGGTAAAATTTTAACAGATGATACCATAATTTATTATGATTTTCTATCTAATATTCTAACTAATTGTGTTAAAAAAAAAGAAAGTACAAAAAGTTTATAAATTTTGTGCATCACTAATGAATTTTTGGTCTAATAGTACTCCTTACTTTGTAAAAATACTTATACTATCCCTCTATACTTATCCCTATATTAGATTCTTCTTTGTCTCCGATTACTTAAGCACCCAACTTAGAACAATCCATTGCCCCTATAACTGCAACCCTCTAAAAACCACAACCACCCTTAATTTACACCCCCACTCCTATCGCCATTGCCACGGCATCGTTCAAAAACGAAAACCATGCCTACTCGTACACCACCTTCACTGTCACTGCACCACACACACTCACACCCACCCATCTACACCCCTAGGCCAACATACCAAACATGTACACCGTCAAGCCAACCACACAACCTAATCCCTAAGACCACCTATCATAGTCCCTTTGGCTGTAAACACACTCACATCTACACCTTCATCACCTCTCCAAGCCGCCACACATCCACGCACGCAGTCACGCATGTGTTTGCAGATATTCCCAGCTCTGATTTTTGACTACCTGCTCCGATTCTATTTCTGATGAAAACTTGAATTTCAACCATCAGGGTTGATATTGAATTCGTGTACATATATCTATATACAGTTTTTTACACACAAGGACTCGCACAGAGAGATGGGGTCGTTGAAGACCGAAGATGAATTGGAGATGGAGTCGACGGAGTCGACGGAGCCAATCTTGTACGTGAATGGGGTTCTTCGTGTACTGCCTGATGGATTAGCTCATATGACTCTACTTGAATATCTCAGAGGTAAATGGGTTTTGTGTTTCAAGACCCTTTTCATTTTTTTTTTTCGTTTCTGTTTTTTTCCAATTTTCTGCTGCCAGTTCGTCGCATACATATTGATATATGTATATACATGCTTGTGTTCGTGTTTAATTTTTGGCTCAATTCTTTTCATCTTTCGTGTTATCTGATGTTTCTTCTATATGTATATGTAGACATAGGTTTGACAGGGACAAAGCTAGGCTGTGGTGAAGGTGGTTGTGGGGCGTGCACTGTGATGGTCTCTTACTTTGATCGAAATTCGAAGAAATGTGTATGAGTCTTTCTCTTCCTCCGCTTCCGTCTCTTTCCTTATGTGTCTCAGTATTTGGTATGTCTGGTTCTCTTCTTCCCTCAACGTAGGTAATGATTTATGGTTAGTACCTGAACGAGGCAATTGCTCGCATAAACTACCGGACACCGGAGATATTGTGAACGTTTTTTTTCAGTGGATTATATTTCTTTTCAGTGTAGTGATATCTTTTGTAATTTTTCAAGTGCATTCCTTAGGACAGGTTGTGGACATTTTTTCACTGGATTTTTTAAGGTAGTGAGTTCTAATGCATTTTGTTTTCCAAATGTATGTTTTGGTACTGTTGTAACACTATATGCTTTGGTACTGTTGTAACACTATTCAACATAGGCTGCAAATCTGAAAGAAATATCAGATACCTATACGGGACAGGTGTAGGCTATTCTCTTGAAAGTGGGAAAGTTTTCAGTTGTTTTTTCCTCGATTAAATATTTTTCCCTTTTTTTTCCCGGTTTTGGGTTAGCGGGGGAGCCTTGGGTGCGTAGATATAGTTTACTGTAGGACCCCTATTTCTTTTTTTGAGTATTATAAAAAGGTGAAGGACACATTAGTCAAGGTAGGAGGTGCAACAGAGATAATTTTTACTATGCAGAAAACAAGGAGGATATAATAGTCAAAATTATATTGGGCTGATGCTACTCTTACGTATTTTAGTTTATGTTATTAATTACATGTCTTCTTTCATTTTGAACGACAAATCTTCTTTTACATTACTTTATCCTAATAAATTATCACTTTGTCTCATTTCTCGTGTATTTGGTTGTGTTGTATTTGTTCATCTCTTTTAGTTGGATACATATAAACTTTCGACTAATTTGGTTAACTGTATCTTTTTAGGATATTCTTATACTCAGAAAAGTTATGCTGCTATGACCCTGTTTCTCGTTGATATTATGTCAGTGCTGCTGTCACATTTTTTGAGTTATCTTCCATCTTTTCTGTATCAGGCAATATACTTTCCCTAGATTTAATATTTTTGAGTCAGAGAGAGCCCTTGTTGCCTATTATTGTAGACTGTGTATTTTAATATGCCCCGAGTCCTCCTCCCTTGCAGATTTATCATCGTTCCAAAGACAGACAGGTTGTTTTATATGTTCCAGCTCCACAGCCATCACCTAATTCTATTGAGGTCCTGCCCCTTGACCCGTTAGCTAGTTCATCATCTTCTGATTTACTTATTGTATTGAGAAAAGGTACCCGTAATTTTATAAAACATCTCATTTCTAATTTTGTTTTTGTGCATCGGTTTTCACCATTCTTTTGTTGTTTTGCATTGACTTTGTTTTCAGTATTTGTTTCTAGTTCTTTTCAATAGGTACTAACATCTCTTGATTGGAAACTGACTATGAATTAGAAAATGAAAGCCCTTAATGAGAATCATACATTAGAACTTACATCTATTCCTTCTGGTAAATAGCCTGTCAATTGTCCTTGGGTCTATAAAGTTAAGCACCATTCTGATGGTTTAGTTGAGCATTTCAAGGCCCGTCTGGTTGCCAAAGACTACACTCAGACGACGTGGATTACTATGAGACTTTCTCTCCCGTTGCTCATTTTAACTCTGTTAGAGTTCTTATTTCAATTGTCGTGAGTTGTGATTGACTTCTATATCAACTGGACATCGACAATACCTTTTTACATGGACACCTGCAGGAGGAGTTATATTCGTATGTATGGTACAACCTCCAAGTTATATTGTATCTGGTAAGGAAAAAGTAGTGTGTCATCTGAAGAAAGTACTGTATGGTTTGAAACAATCACCACGTGCTTGGTTTGATAAGTTTAGTCCTATTGTTCTTCAGTATGGTTTTTAGCGTTTTACTTCGGACCATTCAATTTTTATTCGTCATTTTTTCACAAGTGTTATTATTCTTATTGTGTATATTGATGACATTTTCAGTACTGGTGATGATGCAATTAGTATTACCCACTTTAAGTTTCATTTGGGGAAGCAGTTTAATCAGAGGTGACTCAGGGTAATTTGAGGTCTAAAGTGATAACATCGAATGAGATCTTTTTATTTTTGCTATTAAAATTTTTATTTAAAATTCATTAATTTTTTGTGTGTGTGTGAGAGATAGGGGAGAGGTGTTATGCTTGGTAGAGAATGAGACGGAGGGACAGTGTTGTCTAGAGAGATGTTTTAATTTTTGCTTTTATTTTTTACTAGAAAGAGAGAAGGGGGCTTAATTTTAGCTTTTGTTTCTATATTTTACTAGAGAGAGAAAGAGAGAAGATGTGTGAGGTAAATATGAGTTGACTTTTGAGTAGATATTTTCTATACTTTTTTTTTCAACTTTTGATTTTTGGGGTTCTAATGCTATGGGTTGGATCATTGGCCCAAATTATTGAAATTATAAATTTTGATTGGGCTTAATTTTTTGGGACAATCTTGATAGGGCTTAACATTTTCATAGATTTAAACTTTTGATGTGGACTAACTATTTAATTAAAATTATGGGGCATTCTCAAATTATGGGACTTAAAGCCCACGCTTTATGAGCCATAAGGTTGGGCCACTTCTATATTTCATACCAAAGACTTGGGTCTTCTTCGGTATTTTCTTGGGATTGAAGTTTTTCAGTCAAAGGAAAGTATCAGTTTGTGCCAACGGAAGTATGTATTGGATTTATTGTTGTAAACTGGTAGTCTTGGTGCACGTCCAACTGATACTCCCATAGACTCCACGGTCAAGTTGGATGTTAATAGTGGTGAAGTGTTTGATAATGTAGGGTGTTATTGAAGGTTGGTTGGTAGGCTGATTTATCTTATAGTTACACGTCCTAATATCATCCATGTTGTTGGTGTAGTTAGTCAGTTCATGTATACTCCTCGTAAGCCTCATTAGGAGGCTATTTGTTGTATTCTTCGGTATCAGAAAAGAGCACTAGTTAAAAGATTATTATATCGTCCTTCATCCTCCATGATTGTTACTGGATTTTTTGATGTTGATTGGATAGGTAGTCGTAATGATAGACAATCTATGTCAAGTTATATACATTTCTTGGTAGTCATTTTGTTACTTTGCGTAGTAAGAAATATAATATGGTTGCTCGTTCTAGCGCAAAGGTTGAATATCAGGCCATGGTTCATATTTTGTGAGAGATGTTGTGGGTATATTCACTACGTCGTGATATGGGTATCTGTATGCCCTTTATTATGGAGTTGCATTGTGGCAACCAAACAGCTATATTCATTACCAGCAATTCGGTATTCTATGAGAGGATTAAATACATTGAAGTGAATTGTCATTTTATTCGAGATCTCTTGAAGCGTAAAGAGATTATCACACCATACATCAAATCTGGTAATCTGTTGGGTGACATCCTTACAAAACCATTGTCTCAATTTATATTCAGTAATCTTTGTTCAAAGCTAAATGCTCCAACTTGAGGGGGAGTGTTAGAGTACTTATTTTGGATTATTAGTAGTGTAGGGTAATAATGTAATTACTCGTAATGTCAGTTTATTATAATTATTCCTCTCAATCTATCTATCTTTCGCCCATCTTCTTTCTCTCATAAACCCTAATATCAATTTTATCATTCAACTAAAGAAAACCCTAATTTTTGTGTATCTCCCTTCTTCTCCTTCTTCTCCTTTTCCTTTCTTTGCTTACTTGTTTCAAATTTATGTGGAAAAACTGCATTGATGGGGTAATCCTTTCTACATCTTGTATGCAAGTTTCTCCTAGTTTGAGCTCCATTTTACTTTTATCAAGTTCGTGTGGTAATGCAATATGCATTTTTACTTTTTTAACTTAATTATCTTTGTAAGCACCATGCAGTCAATGCTTGCTTGGCTCCTCTATACTCAGTAGAGGGGATACATATCATTACAGTGGAGGGAGAGAGTAGAGAATCATAAACATGGCTTGCATCCAATTCAGGTATGTGCTTTTGTTGGCAGCACCCTCTTTGCTATTGGTAGTGTTCTTTAAAAAGCTTCAGAGTTCCTATGGCTCTGAACTGTTACCCTTTATAAGCTTTAGAATTTGATATTAGTTGGAATCACTTCAAAAACTTTGTCGTGCTCGCCATTGTGTATGTCGGCTAATGGGCATCCTAATTTGTGGATAATAAGTCTGGTACAAACTGCCCTACATTTGTTTTTTTTGGATTTTCACGTTTCTAGCTGTTGGATAGAAATAATAACCGAGCTTAACCAACGACTCATCTCGCTGACCACAGAATCATCCAGTGAAAACTGTAAACTTGAAATGTTAATTTGATCCTTTAAATTTTGTGTAAAATATTGAAGAAGTGTCAATAAGGATGTTTCAAAAAATTTAGTCAGGCATAATCGTTCTATAGAGGTAGATTATGATGAGGTAGTAAACATTTTGATGGATAGCAAAGCATGCTTTTAACCATGTGTAAAGTGAGTTTCCTCTTTGTAATGTTGCCAAACTTCACTTTGACAAGGAGTAGGCAAAAGCATAAACTACCAACAAAAGTTTCTTATGACTCAATGCTCTAAAGACCATCCTAAACTGCTAACAGACAAAAAATAAGATCAAGAGACATTGGCTATGTTGCTAAAATTGGATAAAGAACTAATCAATTGTTGCCGACATCATATTAAATTGAATTTAATCTTACGTTATATATTCTCCAAAAGGGTCCCACAAAGAAAATACTACAATTGCCCCTTTTTTTATTTTTGTTTGTGAAAGAGAAACTTTGACCTTGACTTGAAGAAAAGCCCTGATATTTTTAAGCTATAGAGTTTCTGCAAATTCTGCTAACACAAGGATTTCAAAATGCGAACTCATGAATATGTGACTCAAATAGAATTTTTGTCTATTGAGTTTCCAAGCAAATGCAAATGTAGGATTCTGACCCATAATAAGGCCCATAGACTATGGGTTAGTGCACATGGTCAATGCTGCCCAACGTAGGCTTGGACTCCTAAGATCAAATGTGAGATATATAAAATAATTTGTGCCGTGTATCAGCTTAAAGTCA